CCCTCCGCCTCCGCCTCCTGTGTCCGAGGCTTGTTTTGGCACACAACTCGGCGTCCTCCATCATCGCGGGTCAGCAGAAACTCTGTGACAAGTTTCCTGCAGTTTTCTCAAACCCAGAATGTCATGTGGCATCATGACATTCACCAAAAAAACAACGTAGTCTACTGAAAGAATCTCTTTTGGGAACACACAAGCGCTTACTCCCAGCCTTCTGGAGGAAGAGCAGGCCGTTAACCAGCACTAAGTCATCACAGAAACGGTTGGCCTCCCGTAGGCCCTCTGGCTGCCACCGGCCCAAGAAACGGTTCTTCGGGCGGCTCGGGCCCACGGTCTACTCCCAAACATTTGTGTGTCGCCGCGCCCTTGACCCGCCACTGGAAGTCGGCAGGAAACAGCAGTGAGCCCGTGACCCCGCTTTATCCCCGAGGGACCCCGGCAGGAAACAGCAGCGAGCCCTTCACCCTAAAAGCAGGCCGGGCCGTCAGGACCCCTCTTTATCCCCACGGAACGTTCGGCACTTTAGGATGCGAGTAGAAACGTTTGTCGTCGTGGCAGCCATGGAGTGAACGGCGCCGAAAAAGTGCGGAAAACGACATTTTTGTGAAGAGAGCTCGGCCCTTACCCTCACGCGAAAAAGAAGGGGCAGTTCACTCCCTGGCCAGGGATTGGGTGAGAACCGAGAGAAGCAGACGTGAAGTTTTCGTACAGGGAAAGTTTTCCATATCCGCTAACCGGTACCAATGGAACTGCCGAAAATTTGCGCTGCAGTGGGCTCTGCTTTTCTCTTTCCCACCTCCGGGGCCTACGATTTGGGTTTTCCGGAAGCTTTCCAGGCCAAAATTTGCCGCAAAGCAGCGGGGTCCACCTCTAAGGCTAGGACCCCACAGGTTTGCGGATGGAAAAGACGTTTGCCCATGAAAAGAGGGCAAGTCGTTTTGGAAAGTCGGGAAGTACTTTTTTCGGGACCTCATCGCAGAGGCTTGGAAAACCCTTTGGAAATTCGTTGAGCCAATCGTTGTCTGTTTCCATTGGCACTCCTTTGTTTTTTTTTTTTTTCGGTTGCTGTCTCTCGTGAGACTTTTCGAGGAACGACCAACCCTCCCCCCTACCCTCATCAGTCTGCACAAAATTTCGGCGTCAATGTCTCCCGCGACGGTTTTCCAGCTTGGAAACCATGTGAAAACATGAAATCTCGGTTTTCAAGGCCACAAAATTCGGGTTGTGGGGTCCCGGAAAACCATTCTTGGGGAAAAAACGTCCTCTCAAGGACTCCATAGAGGGCTCTGGGGTTTTGGAAAAATTCTGCGGCCAAGTTTTTTTTTCCCGGAAGCGTGTGGGGTCCTAGCCTAAGGGGCTCGTTCGACACTCCTCGGGCGCCTAAAGTCCCCGAGGAATTGTTTGTTCCACAGTCCACTTATCCTCGGGGTTGCAGTCGGAAAAAAAAAAGTGAAAACACTCCGAAGGAATTTCCTCGGGCTCCGAGGATTCCCCAACCATTTCTCTCTTTTGCCCAAGGGACCTCAAGAGGTCCCTTGGGCAAAAGGAATCCGCATTTCACGGAGAGGAGCGGGCACACGCGTAGAGAGACGTTACAACCGAGAATCTGGATCGTGGCGGCACCCTATTGGCTGAAGGCCTAAGCACATTTGTCTTTTTTTTTTTTCTTTTTTTTTTCTGACATTGCTCCAAGGAAACGTCCTCGGGCGACGTCCCCGAGGGACAGGTGGAACGAAGGGCCCAAATTTCCTTTTGACTAAAAGGAACTTTTCCTCGGGCTCCGAGGACGCCCCAAGGAGTGTCGAACGAGCCCCTAAGTACTTGTGGGATCAGGTACTTATCCACGCTGAACGGAGAGCGGAAAGCGGAAAGCGGTGCGGAGCGGAGAGGGGAGCACATCGGAGAGCGCACGCGCGCGCGCGCGCGCGCGCGCGCGCGCGAGAGAGAGAGAGAGAGAGAGAGAGAGAGAGAGAGAGAGAGAGAGAGAGAGGACCCACCGCGCGCGCACATGAGAGAGAGAGAGAGAGAACGGAGAGCGGAGCCGAGCGCGGAGCGGAGAGCGAGCGAGAGTGAGAGAGAGAGAGAGAGAGAGAGAGAGAGAGAGAGAGAGAGAGAGAGAGAGAGAGAGAGAGAGAGAGAGA